ACCAGAGCTCCTTATAGGGTCCCTATAAGTTGGAACTAATTCAAAGGCACTTAACAATTGTAAATACTGCAACTGAACTAAAATAACTGCTTACTGATGAAAGGAGTTCTGGTGTGGCACTCACTATAGGATAAACACTCGACTGCTAACCCCAAGGCTGGCAGTTTAAACCTACCAGCTGCTTCTTGGAAACCCTGTACAGAGTTTCTATAATTCGGAACCAACTCAACAACGCTTAGCATTTATATTCCACTAGAAAAATATATCTCAAAGGCTAGATTGCCAATTCGAGCATTGCATAAACGATGTATAAGATTGGCTGAAACTAACCAGGACATAAAAAAGTAAGAATGTACAGCTCTACCTGGACTTGCTTGTGTGCCAGTTTCTTTTCGTAAGGTTGCTACCTGAGGACAGCCCCTCCACTTGGCTCTGTATTCCCTCTCATCCAGCCTCGCATTATTAGTAGGCCCCTTTGGACATGGGTCAATTTGGCTTTTTTTCAGCTTCATCCTTTCCTGCCTGCATTTCCTGGGTCTGTGTGTTTATTTAATGCTAATTTAAGAATCTGTGAAAAAATTTCCTCCTTTAAAAAAACAAGTTTTTGACAAGCTATTGATATCATTTATACTGGTTATACTCTCCAAAGAGAGATTGTACCCATGGTGTAATTTTCTTTAGAATCAAGCCCCGAGTTGGAAATGTTATCTCTCGTTAGAGTGTTATTACATATAACATGGATAGAAAGAAACTGGAACTTGTATATAGACCAGTAGCAGTCATTATAACAGAACAAGGGGACACTGAATGGTTTAAAATTATGAAGTTGTATGCTAAGCAAATAATACAAGAAACTGGATTATATGAAGAAGAACTTGGCATAAAAATTGGAGAAAGACTCAATAACAACCTGCAATGTGCGGAGTCCTGGTGTGGTTCTGTGCACCAGACTGCAAAGCCATTTGAACTGCAAGGTTGGCAGTTCAAGTTCACCAGCCGCTCCTCGGAAACCCTATCCAGGGACACTATGGGTCAGAACTGACTCGATGACACTTAACAACAACAGCAATGTGCAGAAGCAGAAAAGATTGAAGTTGTCAAGGACGTCATTCTTGTTGGATCAACTGTCAACACTCATGGAAGCAGCAGTCAAGAAATCAAATGACATATTGTATTAGGCAAATCTGTGTGTGGCATAAGACCTTTTTAAAGTGTTGAAGAGCAAAGATGTCAGCTTGAAGACTAAGGTGCACCTAACCCAAGCCATGGTATTTTCAATAACCTCATATGCATGAGAAAGCTGGACAGTGAATAAGGAAGACTGTAGAAGAATTGATGCTTCTGAGTTATGGTGCTGGAGAAGAATACTAAAAGTACCATGGATTGCCAGAAGATCAAACAAGTCTCTGTTGGAAGAACTACAGCCAGAATGCTCCTTGGAAGCCAGGATGGTGACTTAACCTCAGCAAGGTGGATTGACACAGTTGCAGCAGCAGTAGACTCAAGAATAGCAGTGATTATGAGATTGGCCCAAGACCAAACAGAGTTTTGTTCTGTTGTACATAGGGTCACTATGAATTGGAACTAACTCAATAGCACCTAATAATAAGTACGTATTTCTTAACCAATTAACCAAAGTTTAAAAGTCATTAAGTGAACCTGGAAATCTAATTCTTTTTAGAATTTAGGTCAGTGATCAAGTGCCCTCTGCTGTGCATTGGTCTGTTGAATTTAAGTGCTATTTATTCTTTACTCACAGTTTTTAGTTAGTAATCACTTAAAGATAAAGTGAGTAAGTAACGGTGTGCAGATATATTTCTTCATTTGTTAAGGGATTTCTCAGTTACACTTCAGGAAGCTTCAAGCAGAAAAACATCAGTTTTTGAGTGTCCATTATCTTTTTCATGATATCCATGTTATTTCGAGTGACCGACAGTGGAATTTGAAAAAAGCATTGCAAACATCATAAGAGCACAAGTAATGTGATATTACTTTAAAAACTTCAGCTAGCAAAACTATTCTATAGCTTATTCTGTAAGCGATTGCCTTTCTTATGTTTCTAAAATGCATTTAACCTAACACTAGAAAATTTCTATAAAAATGTATCTTCTCACCACTAAATATACTAGTAAAATTGAATATTATTAACATTTATTAATCATGAATATGAAAGCATATAAAATTGAATATAACTGCTTAGAGTTTAAGAAGACTCTTTATACATCTATTCAAATTGCTTCCCAGAAATACTATAATAATAGAGCAAG